TGTGGCATGCTGAAAGAGTGAATGAAGGATATATCTTTGATTTTAAAAAGGAAATTGAAGAGTACTGTATATCTGATGTTGAAATATTAGCACAGGCTTGTCTCATTTTTCGCCAACAGTTGCTAGACACGTCAAATGTATGTCCTTTTCTCGAGGCAACAACTGTAGCCTCCACATGCAATAAAGTGTTTAGGCGTAACTTTTTACAGCCTGACACCATAGGTCTTATTCCAAAGATTGGTTATCGGCTCAAAGATAATCAATCTAAAATCGCTTTACAGTGGTTATTGTGGGAAGAAAAACAGCGCTGTATTACAATCCAACATGCTGCTAGGGGTCCTGAAGCTCTTATTGGTAATTGTAAGGTAGACGGTCTTTACGAAAACATAGTTTTTGAATTCCAAGGCTGTTATTATCACGGTTGTCCGACTTGCTACCCTGAAAATAGAACTGCTCCTCTTCATGATGATCCTTCCGATTGTATGGAGAATCGTTATGAAAAAACACTTGCTAAAAACCAGCATTTACGTTCTCTAGGGTATGAATTGGCTGAAATGTGGGAATGTGTCTTCCGTAAAATGATGACATCAGAGATAACATCATATACTGACGGTCACCCCCTAATGACAACTCTACCTCTCAATCCACGGATGCTCTGTATGGTGGTCGTACAGGTAATACCGTAGAGTATTACAAGTGTAAAGAGGACGAGCAAATTAAATACGTTGATGTTTGCTCGTTGTATCCGTGGGTGTGCAAGTATGGCAGGTTTCCTGTAGGTCATCCTAAAGTGTACGTTGGTGAGGAGTGTCAGGATATAGATTTATCTAAGGTATCGGGTATAATTAGGTGTAGGATATTGCCTCCTACCCATCTCTATCACCCTGTTCTTCCTGCTAAGATGAACAGTAAATGTATGTTTGTTCTTTGTCGTAAATGTGGTGAGGACTTTGTTCAGAAGGAATGCCAACATTCCGATAAAGAGAGGGCTCTAACAGGCACGTGGGTTGCAGAAGAGGTGGTACAAGCCTTATCTAAAGGTTATAAACTGTTGGAAACGTATGAGGTATGGAATTATGATACAATTCAGTTATCGACATCTCAAAAGGGTCTGTTCTCTGACATGATGAACAAATTTATAAAGATTAAGCAACAAGCTTCAGGGTGGCCACGAGGTTGTGTATTGGATGAGGAAAAAGACCGATACATCGAGGAGTTTCTCCAAAGGGAGAATGTCTGGTTGGAGTTTTCCGAAATAACGGAGAATCCAGGTCTGAGGTCGTTGGCTAAGTTGATGTTGAATTCCTTCTGGGGTAAGTTTGCGCAGCGTGAGAATCTCCCCAAAACATCTATTGTAAAAAAGCCTGGAGCGTTCTTTGCTATGATGGTAAATCCTTCAATTTTTGTAAATACTCTTGTTCCTGTAAATGAGGAGACCTTGATTGTCACATGGGAGTATGTAGAAGAAGCGGCTTCCATGTCACCCTCAGTTAACGTGGTTCTGGCTTCTTATGTTACTGCCTTGGCTCGTCTTAAATTATATTCATATTTAGAGATAGTGGGCGAACGTACCTTGTACTATGATACCGACTCAATTATTTACGTCTCCAAGGTTAAGTTACCCGACCTACCTACTGGCGATTGTATAGGCGATTTAACTGATGAACTCGGTGGTGGATATATTTCAGAGTTCGTTTCTGGAGGACCTAAAAATTATGCATATAAGTATACTTTACCTAATGGCGACGAGAAAATTTGTTGTAAGGTTAAAGGTATTTGTTTAAATTATGAAGTTTCTAAATTAATTAATTTTGAAAAAATCAGAGATATGGTACTTACAAAAACCGATCCTGTTTCCATAGTTGCTAAACAAATTCAAAGAACACAAGATCACTCTGTTATTACGAAAACCTGTGAAAAACAATATAGACCAAATTCAACCAAAAGAAAATTTTTCGATGATTTTACATCTATACCTTTCGGTTATAAAAAACTCAAAGTTTAAAACTAACACCTTTTAATTATTAATTTTTTTGTACAATTTTTTTATTTTTTTTTAAATTTATATTAATGTATTACTTTTATTTTTCAGCAGCGTAATTTTTTCCTCTACTTTGTGATACACATGATTATCTGTCACACTGTAAAGTAGGGTCACTAAAAAGCTGTAGTGAGTTACCGTTTGTCCTATCTACCTAAATAAGATACTTTGTCATTAAAAGATGGTCAGTTAAGACCAATAAAAGATATCTGATATAGCCCACTTGACAATTACTGAACCTATCTTATTAAGTTAAAATCTAGTATTCATGCAGTCTTCTCATACAAAAGATGGCTATCAGATCATAAAAAGATGTCTTCTGAACCCTATAGCTTTATCTACTTTAAAAAGATGTTCAGTTAAGAAAAATAAAAGATATCTGCTATAGCCCACTTGACAAATACTGACCGATCTTATTAAGTTAAAATTTAGTATTCATGTAGCCTACTCATACAAAAGATGGCCCTCAGATCATAAAAATATCTCTGCTGAACCATTTCCTATGTTTTAAAATATATATTAAAAGATTTCAGACTTTGTAACATCATTGCAACTTTGCTCGTTACTCACTCGAATGTGGGACAAACAATCGCTTGTTCTATGCTATCAAAAATATCTTAATTCAACATCAAATTTACATGTTTGATTTCTCTGAGGAATCTTATTGGTTGTAGGCCTCTTGGGGGGGGGGGGTGTCAACGGTGCTCACGGGTGCCTTGGAAACCAACACGCTCATTATTTTCTTTGCTCTAAATTTTTAGCGTCATTTTCTTTACTTTGCATCGATGTGTCTCGTTCTGCGTTGAACGTCACATCCTACGTCTAATGTCACGTCATTCACATCACTTTCTCCTCTTTACGACGATATGCCATATACATCCTCAAATTACGCTATTTAGATCCTTATGCTATGCTGTCATCTTTTGATTTTTCTATTTATCATTCTCCTCATCTATTACCCTCTATCGATGTATCGTGTTTCAGATCACTTACCCTGGTATAAGGACCTCTATCAATAACATTGGGGTCGACCATAACAACCATAAACCCCTCTGGCATAACGATATTGTGCAGTGGTTGTGGGTTTTAGGTATAAGAAGCGATGATGGTTATGATTATATTGATGATGATTATGATGACTATTTTAGTGGTGAAGATCATGAAGAGGGTGCAGATGACGATAATGAGGACTATAATGATGCTGATTATGATGACGATTTTAATGGTGAAGATGACGATAATGAGGACTATAATGATGTTGGTTATGATGAAGATCATAAAGATGGTGAAGATGACGATAATGAATAAACATTTAAACTTTACATTAATTATAATAAAAATTATTTTATTGGTTTTTTATTCTGTAAACAATAAAGTAATCTGTATAGACCTTGCCTTTTTTTTTAATTTTGTCTTTTACATTTTTTCTATTATGTACATTCTAAATTATGATAGATGATTCGAATAATTGCACACCTCACCTTTTATGCATTGTTTCACGGGAGCGAGAGATAGACTGAAGGAGTGTCTTTTTTTTTTACGATGTCAGCTGCTAGATGTAGTCGACAGGTGGCGTGACGAGTTGATCAACTGTATGTGGAACCCCATTCAAACTATGTCAAATATTTGATATAGAAACGTTTCGGCGATGATTCTCTGTTAGCGCCACTTTCTTTCAATGTCTATTATGCTAAACGAAGATCCGATATAACGGCGTTTTTTGGTCATTGTCTTTTGTCTTAATATATTTCCCCGTTACCTCTTCTTTTCATTTAACGTTACACGTAGTAATCTGACTAATAACAACAGAGATACGACATAGCGTCGTTTGGCACGGCTTTGCGTTTGCTTTTTGTCTTAACATATTTGTTACCACCTCCCTTTTCATCAACACCTCACACATCACGATCCGTTCGTTTTGGTATTGTCTTTGCGTTTGCTTTTTACCTTAACACATTCGTTACCACGGCCCCTTCCCCATCAACACCTCACACACAACCGTCTGTTTTGGCATTGTCTTACCGCTTACTTTTTATCTTAACATAATCGTTACCACATCCCCTTCCCATCAATATGTCACACATTATTATACGTTGAGCTCTATCACCCTGTTCTTCCTGCTACGATGAACAGTAAATGCATGTTTGTTTTGTGTCGCAAATACATGTCGAATGTCACGTTATTCAAGCAACATTTCACGTTCTACCACGTTCTGTGTCGACGTTCTCTTAGGCACTGTATGTACAAGAAGAAGAATGTTCGAGCTTGTACATGGCTTCTGTGTGTCACCAACGCTTTGACATCTCATACGTCAAAATCAGACCAATAGCAATGAAGACACGTTTTAGCGCCCATTTGGCAACGCCGCCATCTTTGTTTTTTTTGTCTCCCCACCTTCTCCCCGTTCCATCGAGGCCTCGTACGTCACGATCGAACCAATAGCAACGAAGATACGTTTTGGCGTCCCCTTTGGCAACGCCGCCATCTTTGTTTTTTGTCTCAACGTATTCGTTACCTCCTTCCCGTTCCAACGACCCCTCGTACGTTACAATCGGACCAATAGAAACAAAGATATGATGTAACGACCTTTTGGCATGCTCCGATGCGCACGGCACATATTTCATTCAACCCCATTTTTCATCCTCTTTCCAACGAGCCCTCGTACGTCATCCTACGTTAAGCCGTTTGGCATTTGCAACCGTGTGACGTCAGAGTGGGAGTGGTGGGGGGTGCCCCAAGCGGCCCATACTCTACTGGTGCATTTATAAATAGACTATTTATTTATGTAAAACTTTACTTCGAAAATATTACATTTACAAATCAATGTACCAAATTAACATTTAAAAAATATAGATAATTTTAATAACATTTGTGATTTTTTTTGTCTATCAGTTACAATTAATTCAACATTCATCGACTGTCGTGTAAACCTTTTTGCTTTCGGCACAGATCGAATGATGGTCGAACGATCCAAATCGTTCGACTCAGATCGACCCGTGAAAACGCGCCTTAACCGCGACCAAATTGCAAATTGATGATTTGAAATTTGAATTATATTATTTATCTATGAATTATTTGAAATGTGTTTCTGGATCTGGATTCTATAGCTAGCTTCTATAGGCGTATATTCGTTGATTGTATTATAAAATAATGTTGTTTGTTTCTGAAACTCCTGCTGATTATGCTATATTCAAGGTAATTTAAAGTTTAACCAAAGAATATAAACGCTTATATTCGCTTATATTCGAATATAGACGCTTATATTATTATAAGCATCTATATTCTTTGGTTTAAAATTGTATTTCCTTTTTACTGTTCTAACCTCACTTTTCCCATTATTTCAGCTTTTAGTTGGGAAGAAACTTCAGGAAATGGATAATTTATTCCACGCATTGAAAATGCTGGAAGAGTGTAAGTATGCTTAATATTATATGAATGATATTTCTGACAATGATTAGTTTAATGCACCCAACATAACCAAATATATTTGGTTGTGTTAAACAAGACTTGCTATTAGCACTATTAGTATCAGCTTATTAATAATAATAATAATACCTTAATAATTATTGATTTATATTGAATATATAGAATTAAAAACACACAGTAACAGTTTTAAAAATCGTTATTTAAAAAATTACCATTCTAATTCCTGAAGTGTTGCTATACCTATATTATCTTTTAAACTTTCAAATGGATAAACTTAACCAGTTCATTGAATAATCCCTTTTGTGTTAAGTATATGCATTTTGTCTCTGGTTAGCTATTTTTCATTTATATTGTGTAAGAATGTTTTCAGTTGTTCTGCTTGGCAGATAAAGTCAAAACCATATGGGTATGAAGACTGATAAGTAATTAAGCGGGCCTCAAACAGTGGCAACTTTAAAATTTAGTTTCTATCACTTGAAAAGTAAATGATTTTATTTTCTATATTTTATGTTCAGTAAGAATGTCGGATTTTGTTCTATTAAAGGCAAATGAAATGAATATAATATTTATATATAATTTATTACAAACCAAATTTTATTAATGCCATTTTAAATATAGTAATCATTGATTTACTGTACTCTCTCCAATGGGCAATCGAGCCTTGGCCTCCTCCTACCTTGCTGGTCCTGTACTGATTTTCTCCATGTTCTAATGACTAATAACTTTTACACTTCGGCTGTTACTTCATCCACCTTCTCTCGCCTTCCTTTTGGTCTTGAGCTCTGCTTTTTAGTATCTATTACTGTACTATACATACATACTATATTAAATGAATATTTAGCCTCAATTCCTTGGAACAATGTATTAGATGAATCAGATATTAATTGCTGCATAGAACATTTTTACCATATTTTATATGATACCATCAATATGTTTGTTCCTATCAAACAGTTTAAATCATTAAACTTTCCAGTTTATTTTTCGCAATAATTAATTGAGCTTGTCATACAGAAAAAAATAGCTCACAGGAATTTTTAAAGCATCAGGCAAATCATATGAGAAATTTTCGATGTTAAGGGAAAGATGTAAATCATTACAAGCGGTATGTTATAAGAACTATTTAGAGAATATTCAAGAAAATCTTTCAAGTAATCCCCACTTTTTTGGAGGTATGTTAGTGCTACATGTGGGTGTGAGGATGTAATAGCTCAGAATGGTGATGAAATAGTCAATCTATTTGGTGGTTATTTTTCAGGTACGAATAATGATAGTGAGTATAATTTTTCTAATTTTAAATTGGACTATAGTGTGGATTTCCAAATTCTGAAATTTAGTCTGACTGATGTTTTCGAGGGAAATATGAGTTTAAAAACTAAATATTCTTCAGGGCCTGATGGTATACCTGCAGCACTTATTAAGAACTGTATTTTTCCTCTTTGTAAACCTTTACAACAAATTTTCAATTTCTCATTGTCATCATCTATATTTCCACAATATTGGAAAAATAGTTTTCTTACACCTATCTATAAATCTGGCAGTGGTGAGTGTGTTAACAATTATTATAGAGGTATAACAACTATTCAATCAGTAATCCCAAAACTTCTTGATAAATTGGTATTGATAAATCTCACCTGGGCTTGCAGAAACATAATTATTGATGAACAACATGGATTTTCTAACAGAAAGTCAACACTAACAAATCTTGCCAGTTACCAACAATACTTGTTGGGTGCATTTGAGAATAAAATTCAGGTCAACAGCATTTACACTGATTTGTCAAAGGCCTTTGACTAGGTTAATCATAATCTTTTAGTTCACAAACTTCATGCATCTGGCTTTGGTGACCCCATTGTTAATTGGATTTAAAGTTTTCTGATAGGACATACACAACAAGTTTGTATTAACAATTATATTTCAAAAGAATTCCATTGTTATTCTGGTGTACCACAAGCATCTCATTGTGGTCCTTTGTTTTCTAACTTGTTCATTAATGATATTGGTAAGGCTATCAAAAACCTCTTGATCCAAAAAGCTTCCTGCTATTTGCTGATGATCTTAAAATATTTCGTTATATACATGAGAAATCAGATAGAGATCTCTTGCAAGATGATGTAAATAATATGTTTATGGTCAAAACAAAATGGTTTAAGCTTAAATCCATCTAAATGTTATTGTAATTCATTTGGTCATATAAATAATAGCTAATAGATATGTTCTTAATGATGTACTCTTGGATTCAGCTACTAAGATTAGAGATATTTGTGTATTATTGGATTGTGCATTGACATTTAGAAGCCATTTTCTTAAAATTAAGGAAACAGGATTTCATAATCTTGGTTTTATTTATCGTAACAGTCATCATCTCGCATCTATTGTATTCAAATTATTGTATTGCTCTCTGGTATGCTCATGTCTTGAATAGTGCTCCATTGTTTGGTCCCCATTTCATCAAGTCTACATTGATGGATAGATGAATTAGAAGCACATATTATTATAAGAAATTCTGAAAATTATTTCATAGATTATTCTATAATAATGTATCAATTTAACATTCCTATATTGAAGAACTGCAGGTTGAGAGCTGATATATTATTTTTATTTAAAATTCTAGACAATGTTATTAATCGTCCCCCATTATTAGCCAATGTACATTTAAACACAATACATAGAACTTAACACACTGCAGTCTTTTATATTCCTTTTCACAGGACTGATTATGCTCGTCATTATCCTTTGTCAAGAATGCTCAGCTCTTGTAATGACCTATTGGATCCATTCTATCGAAACATTAATGTTTTGAAAAGGCAACTTAGGAATCTAAGTATTAATCTAGATATGTGATATATTTTTTTTAACTTTTGTGATTTGATATACTGTTTTAATGTACAAATTTTTACTCTTTAATAATTGGTCTAAGCCACATATACATGGTTCAGAGTAAATGAGCATATTGTGTCTACCTACTTTAAGAAATTCACTGATAGAAATTAATGCTTTATTTTCACATTTTTATATTTGAATAATTACAGGCTATCTAAACAAATGTACAAAAGGAAAATAAGTAAAACCAGTTTATTGCAAAAATAATTTAAAGCGGTTAAGATGGATTTTGCAAAATTGTAAAAATATAAATGGTCATTTTGCAATAACCGTCTATTCTTCCGAAATGGTAAATAGACAAAAAAAAACTTTGAATTCGAGTTCATTCGTAAAAGTAAGTAACTGTTACTGATTAAATTCCTACTCGATTTAATCTTTATCAATCTCGAAATCAGGATTTAACCCAATCCCTTCCAAATCATACCTATAATATTCCTATTCATATTAATACAATATTTTGCTGACTAGAATTTTGACTATCAAGCAACAGTTCCAATATTTTATATACTGAACAACTGGTTTCGTTATTTGATAAATGCAATTTTTTGTCGGCATTTATGGTACCAGCATTCGAGTAATCGCAAAACATATATGTTACCTTTTCGGAAAGGAATTTAAAAATTTCTTTAATCAGTTGCCGAGCTGACAACACAGAAAATTCACAGTTTTAAATAATATACTTTCGTATTTTACCATTAAAGATAAAGCTTCTAGTTTGGTGCAATTTTATTTATTTAAATAAAATTGTAATATTAATGTAATAATAAATTTCTTAAATAAATTAAAAAACTGAAAAGACCCTTACAAAGATTTGCAACAAGCGTCTTACTCACATATTTATAATGAAAACATGGGTTAGACTATTTTTACAAATTTCTGCTTTCATATTATTTGACGAATATGGTTTAGAACTTAGTTAACAAAATCCTCCATGAGTATGGATATGGCTTATATCATTTTTGCTTGATGTAGTATGCATTATAATCGACAGTTTAACACGTCTAACCTCATTTGTAAACAAATGTGGGTTAGACGGTTGTTGCAAAACACCGTCCAATTGTTTCTATGTTATTGTTTTGATGTTTATTGTACCTACATGATCTTTACTTTTTACTATTTGTTGTATTTTATTGTAAAAAGGTTTTACCGTTGAAATAAATAAATAAATAAAATAAATATACTATGTAAAATACTAATTAAGATGACTAAATAAACTAATAAAAATTATTAAAAGGTTTTTGTTAATAAATTCACAAAATATTATATTCTGTACTATACCGAAAATTTGTTAAGCAGCGCTGATTGACACAACAGAGCAGTAAAATGTTTACATACAAATGTAATAGATATCTTTATTAAGTTATCAGAATTAAATGGCAAAGCCAATATCTTACACATTAAATATAAAACAATATTGTAGGTATATGACACCTAAAATTAATATTGATCTATTTGTCTAATGTTTAAAAATCATAGTCAAAGCAGTGGCGGTGCCTAGTGTAAAGTATTGGGGGTGCACACATTAAAATTTAAGGGGACAGTCTCATGCGATTAAAAAAAAGACGTATTTTAAAATTAAAGCAGAAAAAAACTATAATATTAGCATAATTCCTTTTGGAGATGATTAAGTAAGTCTTGAAGTACATAATAAAAATTTTTAATAGCGATTTTAACTTCATTGGTGTCCGGTAGATGGCGTGTAGTAAAAAGTGCGTTTTTGGTGGTAAGACACTTTGTGGGTCACCTATAACAGATATCCAAAAATTCAAAATTGGTTGTATTTGTGAGACTCAAAACTAGATGATAAACCTTTAAAATATGCAAATTGTATTATTTTGAAGAGTTTATACGAATTTTTTTCAAAAAAGTCGAAAAATCACTATATTTTTCGGTGGATTTACCCATATATAATAAAAAGGGGGGGGGGTGGTTTTAAAATATTTTAAAGGTTTATCATCTAGTATTTTGTATATACATTCGAAAAATTTTTGGTTTTTTAAAATCGGTTAAGAAGGTTCGGAGAAAAGTGTCTGACCAGTTTGAAAATGTTACTTTTGAGAAAAAAGCATTTAAAGTTTTTTTTACATAATTTTCGTGAATAAAAGGCTGATAACTTTATACTCACGTTTAATCGGCCATTCCTGGTGAATATTGAGGACCGTCTTCATCCAACAGTTGTTGTAAATGGTTTTGTAAAGCTGTAAATTTCAATACAACGTCGCGATGTTTTATAATTAATTCATTTGTTTGACTGGAGTCTCACTCTTAATTCACGCCGCAATGCTTCCAGTGTAAGTGTAAAAACGGAACACACCTAGATCGCATGTCAATTCAACGAAAACGTACTTATTTATAAATGTAGATATGAAAATATTTTATAACTAAAAAAATGGTTATGTTTTATTGCCAAAACGGCTTGAAAAAAAAAGTTGATTGTTAAAATTAAAAATAAAAAGGAATTTTAAAAATAAAATAATTATATTACACTCTTTTTAATTTAAAATTATAAACATTATTTGGATTAATAAATGTATTTAAGTATAAATTTTATAACTCAAATAATACCTAATGAACACAAACAAAATTGGTGTCAATAAAACATTATTTATTATCTGCACAAAACCGGACTTTCAGGAAAAATCGGTAGATGGAGCAACACTGTCGGCGTGCCATATAAGCTACTACAAACCGCTGAGGAGAACAGTAGACGATCTTACTATATTCCGAAAGGTATACGGGAAATTATCTACTTCCCGCACTTTTTCTGCCAACGGTCCTAACGGTCGATCCAACTACCCAACTGGAAACGGTCGGCGGTGAACTGAACGGTTCAACGGCCACCGAATTTTGTCGTGTAGGAAAATCTCAGGACATCGGTGATTTAGTCTTTTTCAAGAGTAATACACCGGAAAGTGACAAAACATTATTTTCAAATAAACTAACGCATATAATTTCAGGTTCCAATCCGATAAGGAAGGAATTTCCGATCCACAGGAATTATTTAAGAGAATCCAAATTCAGGCCCACCTCAAGGAGAGGTGGACCCGCCCAGACGGAACGGTTACAGGAACGGTTCGACCACGAGGTGAACAACGAGGTTTTGGAGGAAAATATTGAAAATCAGGAAGTAATGGCTACCAGAAGCGTCGAAATTATGGACGAAGAGCCCTTTCAAACCGTCAAGTGTGCCAGGAGGAACTCCGCTGAGTCCATACAAGGTGCCAGAAGGAGGGATGCCACTTCAAGTGCTTCCACAGTCCCAGTAAGGAACCGTTATCAAGTTCTGGAACAGGTGAGTACTGAAGATAGGTCTTCAGCTCCATCCAAGAAGGAACGTGTTCCACCAATCGTCATTGCGGTCAGATAGGATCCTATTCTGCCTTTATCAAAGAAGTAGCGAAACTACTAGGCCACAATAACTTCCAGATTGCACCAGCAGGTAAGTTAGGCACCCGCATCTATCTTTACAGCACAGAAGACCACGAAAAAGTGAAACAAGATTTTATCAACACGTCTACTGCCTTCCACACCTACACCAGGAAGTCCGATGTAACCAAGAAAATCGTGATGAAGGCAGCTCCAGGCCTGGACCTCGACGATGTAGAAGCTGACCTCAGGCAACAAGGAATCATAGGCAAGGTTACCGAGATGAAGACCAGGAAACCAGGAGCAACGAGCAGTTCATATCTTCTCCAGGTCGACAAGCAGCAGGACCTAAAGGATATCAAAAAGATCAACGGTGTCAACGACATTCGAGTCCGATGGGATGCCTATTCCAAACCTTCAAGAGCTACACAGTGCTACAACTGTCAAGATTTCGGCCATTCTGCAAGGAACTGCTACAAGAGCCCCAGATGCATGAAGTGCGCTGAGAATCACCAAACCAGGAACTGCCCCCTACCTAAAGGACAAGTAAACAAGGTCAGATGCTGCAATTGTAACGAAGCTCACACCTCCAACTACCCGATGTGCAGCAAACACATCGAATACTTAGACAGACAGGCGGCAAGACGAAACAGGAACCAGCCACAACAGAAGACAGCACCTCCACCACCCCATCCATCAGCATTCAGGACGACCACCAGCGGATTTTCTTATGCACAGGCCAGCAAAGGTGTACCACAACCCTCAGCTCCATCCAAACCAGCTACAGTCCAAGGAACATGGGCAGAGATCAACAAAATAGTAAACGTCGAGAAGATGATGGCCATTCTTCAAGATATGAAAAGGGATCTACTCCAGGCGAGGTCATTTGCCGAGAAAGCGATGATCTTCATGAAGTACGAAGAAATCTACAATGAACCATAAGCATCTGAAGATCTTCCAGTTCAACATAGCATCTCTACGGCTACGAATCAGCGAACTTCGAGAGGCAGTCCTGAGGCACAACCCTGATGTCATCTGCCTGTCCGAAACCAGATACATGACGGAGTCACAACTACCAAGGATCACAAACTATGATGGATATGGAAGAAGAGACAATCCAAACGACAGAGGAGTGGCCATATATGTCAGAAACAACATAGAATGGAACCAAGTTGCGTTGGACACACAGCATTTTGAAGGTATTGGTATCAAAGTAGGTATGACTAATATCTTCTCCATTTACAGGAAACATTCGGAAAATCTAGCCATAGAAGAACTTGATGCCTTCCTCAACTCAGCACCAACCGTTGTCGTAGCAGGTGACTTCAACGCCAAACACACAGCATGGGGATGTGCAACAGACACCGCTCCAGGAACAACACTTCTAAGATACTGTGAAGACAGAGAGATGATGTTATTCGCTCGAGATGAACCAACAAGAATAAACCCAATCAGAGGACAAAACAACTCAACACTGGACCTGTTCATAACAAAAGATGTAATAATGGAAGACGTCAGGACCTACTTCGAATGCAGTTCGGATCACAAACCAGTTATAGGAAGAATGACATCAAGAGTCGACTTGCCGAGAATAGAACCAGTAGAAAGATGGAGGTGGAAAGATGCTAACTGGCCTAACTACAGAAGACAGCTCAACCAAATGGAGATGAAGAGAGAATTTCAATCAATAGAAGAAGTAGAAGTAAAGATAGATGACATCACAAGAAGAATACAGCGTGCAATGGAAGACAACATCCCAAAATCCATGACAAACAACAGAGGTTTAGTTATCCCAACTGAACTCCAAAACCTCATCAAGGACAGAAACAAGGCCAGAAAAGCATTCCAAAGAACCAGAAGACAGGAATTCAAGGATTATGGAGACGTCCTATCCGAAGAAATAAGAGTAAGACTGAGAAGTCTTACCGAAAACCAATGGCACAACAACATCAGAAGAGCAGAAGAAAGCCATGGAAATGTTTGGAAAATGTTGAAGCAAGAAGAAGAGGAAAACAAAAGATGCCACAAATCATGGACAACGAGGGAATCCACTACGAAACTCAAGCAAAAGTAGATGCAATATCAAGAAAGATGGCTGCCACTCACAGACAAAACCAAGAGATGTCAGATGCAAGAACAAAGAGGCAAGTCGACGAAGAATACAACAGGATAAAAAGAAGAAACGAATTCCATATAGACGAAGAAGACTACACTAGCCCAAGTGAAGTTGCAAAAATCATCAGGAAGCTAAAGGGAAGTAGAGCACCAGGAAAAGAAGGCATCCACAACATCACCCTCAAGGAGCTCCCAAAGAAGGTCATAGTCCAGCTGTACTAGATCTTCAAATTCTGACTAGAAAAAGGACATTTTCCAAACAACTGGAAGCACGCCAAAATCATACCACTACTGAAGCCAAGAAAAGACGGAAGAAGACCAGAAAGCTACAGACCCATATCTCTCCTGGAAACGATGGGAAAAATCCTGGAAAAAATCATCTACAAGAGACTGATGAAACACACAGAAAGAAGAGGAATCATACAAGAAGACCAATTTGGATTCAGAAAAGGAAGAAACTGCGAACTCCAACTAGCAAGAATACAGAAGAATAAATTCAACAGAAAACAGAAGACTGGATTAGCCATACTGGACATAGAAAAAGCATACGACACGGTTTGGAAGAAGGCATTAATCTACAAGATGGACAAGGCTAGACTTCCACATTATTTAATCAATATTTGTGATATTTATTTGTCTAATAGAACTTTTCAGGTGTCAGCTGACCAAAAGATGTCAACGATTCAACAAATCCAAGAAGGGATGCCTCAGGGCAGCATTTTATCACCCATATTATATAACATTTTTGTTGCAGATCTTCCAACAGATCCTAGGACCTCTACAGCCCTATATGCAGATGATACGGCAGTGTATGCATCCGGAAAAGATGAAAGAAGAATAATAGATGACATGGAGTACCACTTGGAGAAAATCACGGACTTCACGGAAAAATGGAAAATCAAGATCAATGCAGAGAAGACGCAGTTCATAATATTCACCCAAGAAAAACGACCACCACAGAACCAGATCACAGTAGGAGGCAACAGAAGGAGGATAGAGTTACCAACGCCACCATCAGGAACAGATTAGGATTCACACCACTGAGGGAGGTAGCCGAGAACACGACCAGGTGGTTCTTCAACCAGGCCACAAGAAAACTGCGAAAAACCAGGGATATCCTCGAGAAAAACAGGATCCAGAGGATACACCGAGAAACTCATCGACTCATAGACCACATGATCAACTAGCCAGGCTTGCAGAGAAGTAGGTACGTTTGCCGATACAGTACCTACAGAAGCAGACGAGGACACCACCCAGGAAGATCCAGGACCCGAGAGGAAGAAGACCCAGAAGATGGCGGTGCAAGAGCGGTACGCTGAAGAAAAGAAGACAAACATTTTAAAATTTTGAAATGTTCATTTTTGATATTATGGCAATAAATGCTTTTATTTTTATTTTTATTTTATAATGAGGAGAAGTAATCCAGTGGAACAAATAAATTAGTTATAAAACATCGCGAAGTTATAAAGAAATTTACACTGGTTAATTGCAACGCAGAGAATCTTAGTATTTGTAAAAAATCCTATGTTCCGGATTTAAAATTCCAAATGTGCATAGTAACTGCCAAACGTTATACTGATATACATACTATATAAAAATGAATCACTAATACATACCCAACGTATATACAACATATCGCACCCTCAGTAATATAGAGGCACAATTCAAAAAAGTAGATTTGTGGGAAATCGCGTTTAAAGATTCTAGTATCCGACATTCCAGCTATTTTTTCAAATAACATGCTTATTATTTAAGTTATAAATATGAAATTTGGCAGATTTGTTATTTGATAACTGCACTAAAAATTGCAATGAGGAAAAAATAATAATATAAATAAATTCTATTAATTACAAGGAATTGAAAAAACTACTTTCGAGTTAGTCCCGTATAGTATAAAAAACCATAACAGAAATAAGGAACTATTTAAGTTTGATCCCTTATATTATTAGTGTCCCTGCCACTGTTTAATTTTTAATCGTAAATGGTACTCTATATCACCAATCCCAACCGATGTTTGAATTTATTGTTTCTGTTTTATAAATAAAATATCAGGTAAAATAATAGTAATACTTTATTAATCAGTGCAAAATATAACAATAATCTAAAAAAATTCAAAACAAGAGTTAAACATAATAAGATAGCTTTAATATTGTCACATTTATGAGTTAAACGTTTTAATTCCAAATAAAACTTACAAGTAGGAACTTCTCAATTTTTACATTGTCGTTTACTTATTACTTAATTGTATATCACAATATCTCCACAGTAAACTTAAAAATTATACATAACAAAAAACATTCATTCCTCCATTCTAAACTTAGAAAACTGCACATAACGAAAAAATTCATTCTAAAAAATAAAGTTTTCAAAAATAAAATTCAGTCTCAAAACTTAATTATTGTACTTTGTCTATGTACTCAGTCTACACAAAATAATGTTGAAATCCCAAAGATTAGTAATATTAAGACAACATGTTGTTATTATAAGACGCATAGTATGGATCTATCAATTGTTTATTAATCAGATCCTTAAGATCATTCTTTTTAGCACAACTAAGTGGAAGTGCCTGGAGGTAAGCTTTCTGCATGGTTATTTCTTTAATATTTGGTATTCTCTTCCTCTTATCACGAACATTAACTTTTTTAAACTCATCCTCATATGAGCACTTGTAATAAAACGAAAATGGGTCTTCTTTGGTAAATTTCAGTACTTTAATACTATTCCATACAAGATTATTTTTCTGTTCATCTGTATTAAAATTATAGCCCCAATTTTCTTGTAATTTCTGAAGATCGTAAAAAACATTGTAAGTTAAACTGTGAACTATAAATGAAGCACCAGTTTTCCTTGCTCTTTTGATTGCTGAGATGTATTGAACAGGAGAGTATATTGGGCCAGTTTTCCTATCTCTAGCTATCTGCTTTTGTATCACACTATGCACGTTATCAGCTTCGTTCTGAGTGTGCCCTTTTATGAGATATTTGTGAGTTATCGACGACAAATTTTTAGATTGGCAACAGCGTATAAGTATAAGCATGTGAGATAGTTATTTTTGTTTTACCCACAACAGTTATCGGAAAAAATGTTATATTTACTTCCCTGTCACCAGCTTTATCAGACACCATCTGTAAATAATGGAAAACACAGCTCCTTATCTCTGTAGCGCCTCTTTTCGCTTGAGTCTCGTCCCAAAAATAACAATGGACATTTTCATAGCCTTTAAAGATGTCCATTGTTGACACATCCTTTTCTTGAGTTTTTTTTTAATTCCGTCATAGTGAAATTGTAACTATTTAATTAAGATTTGTAATAGAATGCTGATGTTTCACCGTTAAGACTTTGCATAATGGCTTGTACATCGTAACATACACAAATATTGCACTAATCAATGTTCTTTCTGTCATTCTTTTTTTCCTCCCTACATAACTTCTTTTTTTCCAAATGCGTATGATATTGATCCCTAAGATTCTGTTTTAGTGCTTCAGTAGAATTTTGGAACTGCAGGCAAAGATCGCATTGATCTTTTTTGGGTTGATAAAAGCCAAGGTTAAATTGTGTGTTAAAAATTTCATAAAACGTGTGATATAGTCCAGCCGGGCGAGACCTTTCCTCTTGCAGTACTTCAAAATCTCTAAAGAGCTCTGCAATACTTTTACCACTACTGATGTACTCTCTAGGGGTAGATGCTCTTAGATAATGTGACTCAATGCGGGGTATAAAGTTGATGAAGTTGGTGATGTCATTTATAAGCTCATCACTTACACTTTTATGACTATTGTGTTTGCCGCGTTGGTCATCCTTTATGAAGCCCCCAGTTTTTCTACTATCTTCATGTAAATTTCGAATCATCTTATGAGAAATATCGATATTATTAATAAAAAAGCTTTTGCATACCCTAACTCTTTCGTTGTCTACGGAAAAATAAAATGCATGGTTTGGATTTCGTGGTTTTTCGGCATTGGTATACTTGTACCTAGGTGTAATCTGTGCGCTATTAGACAAAACATACATTCTTTGTAATTGTCTATCCCCTAATGCCCAAAATGCACTAAATAATTTCAACCTTTTGGAATCATCGATTCGCTCACTGCATTTTAATCTACATTTTTGGCCACAAGGTGGTTTCATATTACGTGCAGGAACCAATTTCTTCGAATGTATAGCTACATAGCTTTGACCCAAATTTCGTTTCATTTTTTGCGTGTTTTGTATCCATTTGGTTGGATCTGCTTTACGTTTTCTTGATTGTCTTTGAATGTTATCATTTGTCATAGTTACATTGTTTGTATCAATCGAAGTTAGAGTTGCTGTGATCCGTGGACGTCGACGAAAATGTTCTTGTTTGTAAGTGGGATCGTTATCACTGAGGTCTACGTCGCTTTCCCCTGAATGTATTGGAGACATTATGTAACTACCTACTGTTCTTGATCTAACTGATGGCAACTTATCGCATCTCGATAAGGATGGCATGGAAATATTGGCTTTAGACGTACCTGTCTGAGGAACGAACTCGCTGCAAATCGGATCAATTAAAAAAATAGTTAAAATTTTCATGTAAATAAGGGCCAATTACAAAGTTCGCCATCAACAATAAAACAATTTACGTACTATAATGAACCAATAAGATATGATTCCGTATAACATCTCTACTTTTTGGCAATATAGCGAGCTATTATGAATTAGACCCAATTAGTAATTACATTTTACATAATATAAGGGCTAAACTAAAAATTGTTCTATATAATACAAAATGTTAACATACAAACTCACCAGGATTTTTGTCATAGAAGGGCACAAACAGGAATCGCACGACGTTTGAACAGTCCGGCTTTGACGACTATGGGCACGTTACTGATTGTTACCTTGTAGCAGTAAAAACAATAGGTTGGCGGGGAGAGTAAGAGAGAGGCACAAATATATTTACCGAGCAACTAATGTCCTATTTCCCTCTCTGTCAGCGCTAACCGGTAGAGAATTTAATTTTGTGCCCATAGCATCTAAAATCTCAATTTACCAAAATTTTGAGTTGATCCCTTATATTACTGAGGGTGCGATATATACAAAAGCAAGAACAGCGCTGGAGCCTCGCGCTCGCCGCGCGGGGAGAAACCGGTTTTCATACGTGCGTAGATGACGTTAATAAAATAACTATAACTTATATTCTAGTGGGAATTTCTTTTTAAAATTTTAGGAGGAAGTTTTTGAATGTAAATGGAAGCGATTTATATAAAAAAAATAAAATTGATTTTTTGAAAGTTTTGCATGAGACTGTCCTTTTAAGATATAAAAATAGATAACACCCTAGGCCTCCTCTTGAGCCATATTTCCGTAGGCAAAAATTTTCTCAGCTAAGCAATTACAATAAATTATGTATTTATTGAAACTATACCTATGTTAGATTTATATTTCCAGCAAAAAGTCAATAATTCTATTATATATAGTCCTCAATTGTTATCACTCATTAGTCTTAAAGTACCCAGTAGATACAATAGACAGTCTGAAAAGTTTTCAGTGCCATTTCACCACACTAATTATGGTATCAATGAACCAACTATATGATTGGTCTGGAGTGCTAACAGCCTGCCAAGGAAAATAACATTTTAACTCAAAAATTAGTTTATTTAAAAAACAACTGAAATGTTATAATAAGTGATCTCTTTTACATGACAACACTAGTGTACTCTTGATAGCTGTATTAAAGTTTGATATAGTTTATCATTCTATAATGTTTGACATTTTAAAATTTTATTGTTTTTAAGGTGTAGCTTTTGTAAATGGATTCCAATCCATAGTATATCTAAGGCAAGTTTTGATACATTTCAATGTAGAGAAATATCTTTCTGCTTCTGCGGTTGTCATTGGCAATGTAACAAGTACTTAAAGAATTAAAATTATTTCTGAAAGATCTTGCAAATTATTTTCAGTCAAAAATGTAAGCAAGTGGACTGGTCCGGAAAGTTCTTTAAAATCAGATCTTCTATTCAGTCCTTGATTTGCTTTTGTTTAAAATGGGATAATTGCCAATTGCTGATTCCAATAGCAATATAGGAAAATTTGAGCTGTATGTTTTAAACTTTCACTAAAAATAATGTTGCTATGTCCTGTAAACAAATACTTCAGATAGTATAGTATCTCAAACTTAGCTTAATAAAAGTGGAAACATAAGAATTTGTGTCATCTTTATTCTGTCTCTTCCTGGGTTGACTATCATCAATATCTGCCAACTTACTTTCTCTTAAGGTGTGCTAACATAACTTTTGATTTCTGGCATTTTTATGTATTTGATTTATAGTGGAATTTATTTTGTTATGTTGTTACTATAATGCGATGTTGCTAGTGAAATTATCCATAATATATATTTTTAGACAAGGTCACACATTTTAAAATCAGGC